TGCCGCATGGCATGTCACCATACATCCTGCTAATGAAGTTAAAGTGTACAACTGTACAAGCAATGCTGATCCTCTTAGGTAATATATCGTCAATTTTTGGAGTCACAAAGATTTAAAATTCATTTGGAGTGCCTAAATCAAAAGCACATCGTCATAATTAAAAAACAGAAGATGACATATAGAAGGAAAATTTAGGCACTGAGCGCAAAAACCATATTTTATCCGAATATCAGTTTTCACTTGATTTATTCCAAGACACTCCATTGACTATAGAATATATCTGTTTACAAATCAGATCCATAACGAAATTAAAATTAATTTATTAATTTTTCAATAAATATATTCTGTATTTCAAACTTAATTCTATTAATTCTACTAACATAAATGTTTCATTTTCTAAGCTTGGATTGCCTGAAAAATATTTGCGTGGAATGCAGCGTGGAAACGCCGATGAACGACATATCATGGTATCCGTATTGCAAAATTGTAGAGAACAAATTTATTTACGATATTTTGAATATATTCTTGCATGTTTTGCCTGCATTTGTTATCGATATTGTTTTAAAACTTCGTGGTAAGGAACCAATGTAAGCATCCTGTTGGTCGTCGAATAATAACAAGTAATCGCACATTAGGACAATATAGTATTTAGAAATCTCATTTCAGAATGATGAAAATTAACAAGTATTTCAACAAGTTGCTTACTATGTTAGAATACTACACTTTTCACGAATGGACTTTCCATAGAGATAATGTTTATAAAATGGCGGAGGATATAAAGATGTTGAAAGACAGTAATAAAGTGAGATTGGATATACGAGATATAAATTGGAAGAAGTATATTGCAAATTACCACAGCGGAATTGTAAAATTCATTCTAAAAGAAAAACCTGATCCTATAAAAGCAGCACAGCGATTATCACTGTATGTACAGTAATTTCTTGGTATAAAAAATACAACATAGTTATAATATTAATGTTTTTGTATATTTGACTAATGATATTTTTATTTCAGCTTCTATTGGATACACA